AGTATAATTATGTACTTACATGTATTTGAGTGTAGGCAAGTTGTTGTTGTTGTTGTTGTTGTTGTTGTTGTTGTTGTTGTTGTTGTTGTTGTTGTTGTTGTTGTTGTTGTTGTTGTTGTTGTTGTTGTTGTTGTTGTTGTTGTTGTTTATTTATTTTACATCGCATGTCAAACGGGCAGTTCTACCCAATATACATGCACATGTATTATGAAAGCGATGACAACCAGTAAGAAGAGTCAGAAATGAAGAGAAAAATAAATAAAAATAAAATACGAAAATGGAAGTAGCAATGAGGGGAGGCAGGGTCAAGACGAGCAGAAAAAAATGAATCTCAAGTTTACAAGTCGGGTCACCGTAGCATGCAGGGAGTCGTAAGTATTTTACGACTCCCTGGTAGCATGATTCTATCGAGCCTCATCAGCAGGTTACGAAAGCCATTACATGAAGTAAAATACGCGTAGCATGCGTTTGAATTCACGGACATAATTATACTATGGACTTCATACAGTCGGGCAGGCCCTTCCAGAGTCGGCAGCTGGCTAGAAGCGGTCGGCATGCGCCAGAAGCACTGTGGGCCAGGGGGAGGGGAAGGTTGCGTCCTAACTGACCTCGAGTGGTCATGCCTGTCGGCGGGCCTTGCAATACAATTCGGGACGACAACAGCTCACTGACGATTCCAGAGCGGATTCTAAATGTCAGGAGTCGGAGCTTGCATTCCCCTCGTTCCAGCACTGGGCAGACACCCAGGGGCTACAATACAGGGGACGAGTAGTAGTAGTAGTAGTAGTAGTAGTATTTATTATTTTACTAGGGCAATCCCCACAGACTGTGAGTCAGAGAGTGTGGGCCAGTGGGTGCTCATCGGCCACGCAACGGATGCAACGTTTATCCAGTTTGGCTACCGTGTTCCGCTGCTCAGCGGACAGTCCTGGGAGAAACGCATTCGACGCATATAGAATGTCCAGTTACGGGTATGACAAGGGCAGAGTAATACAGCATCGCCTGCCGCACTTTTACTAAGTTTTAGGCAGTGTCGGATCTGGCGAAGGATTCGCAGCTTCATAGCCGTGCGTCGGACGATAGAGATGACTTGCGGTGACCAGCGAAGATTTTCGTCCAGAGTGACTCCGAGGTAGCGAGCCGTACTGGTCTGGGCAAGAGGCGTGCCAGTGCAAGTAATGTGGAGGTCGAGGTTTGCGCCTGCAAGTCGCCTATATGAATAGTGTTGTTACGACTACGAAGCTACACTGCCACCACACTCTGCAGCAGTAGGATTGTGCTTCGACTTGTTCTCTAAGCTACAGTTCTATTCACATGCCCTAGCGGGGTACATGTATGACAGTCCGCCGAAGGCCACGCCTCCGATACACCGAGCAGCTACAATGCATGTAAGCAATGCCCATGCATAGCCCTTGCGGATTATGCCGCATAATATTTGGCATAATCTTGGGATTTCGTCAAAATATTATGCTCCGGCATAATACACGGATTCCAACGTGTAGGGTCGGCATAATCTTTCGGTTTAGACAAAACATTATGCTTAGGGGCATAATACAGCTTTGTCAGAAAGCCTGCAGATGTTTTTTTTTTAAATACCCCAGTTACGACTCCTTGTCATAGCCCTTGGCGGATTATGCCGGCATATTATTTGGCATAATCTTGGGATTTCGTCAAAATATTATGCTCCGGCATAATATACGGATTCCAACGTGTAAGGTCGGCATAATCTTTCGGTTTAGACAAAAAATTATGCTTAGGGCATGGCCATGTGTGTATGCGTGGTTTCTCAATCCTCTATGTACAGCGTGCATACATAGTGGAACCGAGCATAATTCAGCATATTTGTTGGCATAATTGTGGCATAATCAAAAGCATAATTTGACGATTGGCCGAGCTCCGCCAATGGCTAGCCATGCACCTTTTACAAACATTGGTTACCAACTTACCACCGTCTATTCATTGGGTTTTTTCATTGAGCTTTTGTTTTATTTCGCAAATCCAAACGGGAGTTTCTTCCCAGTAACAAGGTAGCGAAGAGATAAGGTACATGTATGGGAGAGGGAAGAGGTGTGCGTGTATGTAAAATACTCAATCTGCGGATAGCATGTTGTTTCGTTCTTTGTGTATGCAAAATATGTGTGTGTGTGTGTGTGTGTGTGTGTGTTTGTGTGTGTGTGTGTGTGTATGCACTGGAAATGATAGTCATTATTAGTTCATCAACCTGACCACCACCACACAGCACACCAACAGCAAACGCAACACCCGTTACCATGGTTACCTGTATTCATCCATTGTGCCATTTGAACAAACAATGAAACAATACATGCATTTCATTTTCTGCGCAATACGTGCGCATTGCCAAGTAATTACATTGTATATGTACATGGAAGTAAACGTGCACTTGGCTAATAACGTTACATGTAAGATGACTGTATAATGTATACATTTTGTACGTTTTGTTTTTCTTCTTGTAACGTTACATGTAAGATGACTGTAGAATGTATACATTTTGTACGTTTTGTTTTTCTTCTTGTGCAGTAAGCCTGCACACCCCGCATGTTGTTGTGTGTGATGAAGGTCGGGGTGCACGGACAAATAAATCTAGGCAAAGAAGACTGTATAATGACTATATTGTGTACGTCCTGTAGTGATGCTCACACGTGGGAACACCCGCGTATGCACACTCGCGCACGCACGCAAAAACACGCATGTATACGCGGTAGGTTTGTCAAAAGCGCTGCATGCCTGCCGTGACCGACGCTGTTCGCTTTGAACATGTTCTCTTTGATCTGGTGAAGACAAAATGCCAAACCATAGACAAGCCGTAATAAGAAACATTCATGTATTACGCAAGTAGCAATAACACTGATCATTATGATTTTTGTAGACTGTCAGACGGTCGAGTCTCTCATCACCTCCTAACCAGGCAACAGCATTGTACATATACATACATGTACATGACACATAATTATACAAACAAGTCATGTACATGTTTTTAAATGCAACCTTGTCTCGTACGTGATCCTCCATGTCCATGATGAATCCATGCACCCAACAGCTCAGCTACTGGCCAAAGTCCTTAGTATCATACCACGGCAATGGTTTTGATGGCCATGCAAGGGCTCCAATGTAGTTATCGTGTCGATATGTCACGTTAGCAGGGTACGAGGATCGCGGTCGCAAACGGCCGCCGCAACCGCGCAACCAGCACATACATGTACATGTACATGCACATGCGATGGCTATGCATTCAAAGGCATCACATTACACTGTTATACAACACTCAGTAGGTGATATCAAGAGTACATAACCCGGGTTATGTACTCTTGGTGATATTGATAGCAAGGTACGTACATTGTACTTTTTTTCATGTACATGGACTTACTAATACTAAGGTAAAAAAGGAGAAGGACAAAATGTTACGAGCTATGACTAACTCATACCGTCCACCAACTTGAGTTGAAAAAATACTAAGGTATTAGACAACCGTGGATGGTTGGGGGAGGGGGGGGGCACTGTTTCCGAACACAGCCAGTGGTCCTCCGCCTTGTAAACATGCTGTCCATCAACAAAATGTGCCTACTAGTACTAGTACTAGTATGAAGACGCCCGTACTGTATACAGTGGAACCTGTCCAAGATGACCGTTCATGGGACCTTCAAAACGTGGTCTCTGTTACCAGGTGGTCTCCTTATCCAGGGTCATTCGACTCAGGAAATAGCATCCCTTGGTCCTGGTGTCAGTGGTCTTCTAGGACAGGTGGTCGCCTTATCCGAGTGGTCGCCTTGACAGGTTCTACTGTACATTGTACGTGTACCAAGCATAAGCAAACCTGTTACTGAAGTAGATATTATGTAATCATTGTCTATCAGAATAAAATATCAGCTTCACCAGTGCTGCAACGTAAGTATGTGTGCGCATGTACATGTAGTACACTTCAGATACCGATCCTCCATAACTGCTGGTCTTACTAAACGCGCTGCGTGCTGACGTGGTGCTGGAAGCAACGTCGTTCGCAGCATCTCCCTTGTCCCCTGAACCACTGTGAACGCCACGACCTCGCCCTGGATGTGAGGTGAAGTGCGGTGTATAGTATCGATATCGATCATCGTTGTAACCGTTATGGTGGCGGTCAGCTGATACAACCAATACTACAATTACAACGACATGTATGCAGCACGCATGTGCGCGTGCGTGTGCGTATGCGCGCGTGTGCGTGTGCGTGTGTGCGCGCGTGTGCGTGTGTGCGCGCGTGTGTGTACCATACTGACTCAGCCGACGCATGAGCGCTGTACAAACCACCGTTGTAACTTGTAGCGCATATAGATCATGCGATTATGCCGATAATGCGTAATACGTACAGCCAACAGTACGATGCACAATTGCGTTAGGGTCTGACTGAAAGCGAGACTGAAAGCGAGACTGAAAGTGCCAGCGCTTACCACGAGGGCATGATCGGGAGATCGAGTGCTCACGTCCAAATGTCAGACGCGCGTCATGAGCTGACTGGAGTGGTATCCATTGTTCAGTGCACGCCGCACCCGATCAACCGTGTGCTTTGCTCTAGGCTCGCTCTCTGACTCTGGGTCTGACCAGGATACTGCATGCGGCGACCTGGTCTGCGTGCAAATCACGGCGCTGCTGTGCCCGACGTTAGCGTTCTGCTGTTGATGCTGATGCATGTTGGCCGGTGCGCTCTTCCGCACGCTTGCCAGGTCGACAGCCCTGTATTGCAGCGCAGTGCTAGCCCTGTTCTGGCCAAGGACAGGTGTGTGTTGACGTGCAACTAAGAATTGCCCAGAACGTGCTGTGCAGCACAGTATCAGAAGCAGGCGTTGTTGTAGTTAGTGTGGTTCCGCGCTGGAAGGAAAAAGTCCCTGCAAGGACATAGTGTGCCGCGGAGACGAAGAGCAACAGGATTCCAAGGCCATGGTCGGATCGTTGGCCCTTTCTGCAGACTAGTAATAGTGCGTGCACCAGGCACACACTGTTGGACCAGGCACGGAGTTGGACCGCGTGCACTTGCGGCCGGGAAGAAAGTGAAAGTGAAACTAGTTGCTGGCGTGTAGTGTTGCCTTATCGCCAGTGGAGGCGGACGCCAAGTACTATCGAGTGTATCTCGAGTCGAGATTACATACCCAGAGATTGTGCCCTTTGCTGTGAAGTGTTTGTGACCTCATGCTCGCCCGTGTGGGCGTGGGACAAGCCGTGGACGCTTCGCCTAGAATAGAGCGCTGCGCAAGATGGGAGTGAGCTTACAGGCAATGGAGGGGGGTTGAGGAACAAACAGGTCTGCTTAGCATTTCACCTGCCTTCACCATGTCGCGGGTGTTTGGGTCTGACTCCTGTAGTAGCAGAGCAGGTAGCGTCATCACGGCCAAAGGCAAAGGCAAAGGCCTTCATAGTAACATTAGCGTAGGGAGAGAAGCTGTCATTCAGGAGACTGAAGTCGCCTCGGTCGCTCATGGTGTGGATAGCGTGCCCAAGACCGAAGCGCATAAGCTGCGCAACGTGACGCGCCATGCGCGCGAGAACACCGTCCTTTGGGGCGACGCGGTGCGACAGTTTGAGCGGGGCCAGTACGAGGAGGCGATGGAGACGTTTGAGCGGATGGATCACAGCAGTGCCCATGTCACCTTCAATCTAGCGACGGCGCAGATGGCCATGGGACAGTACGAAGATGCGATAGAGGTAAGTAAACTACTACATGTACTTGTGCTATGACTGACGGTTTGGGGAAGGGTGTCGTGGATGACTTTGAACCCTGTTACCCCGTATGTTGGGATGTAACTTATGTACACATTGTGGGCTTTCCATTTCTATGGCTGGCAATGCGTATAAAAGTTATAATTATGCACCAAACCCTATGCTCAGTTAACGTGTCTGGCTTAACCACACCACCTATGGTTATACTATTACTAGGCTAACACGCACATTGCAATCAAGACCATAGTTTGAGATCTAACTTCTAACTGCTTTGCAGTGAGATGTATTCGCGTGTCCGATGATCGCAATTTGAATCGTAACGCGTTTACACTGTGGCTAGTATCTCTGCATCTCAGTATTGATTAGCTGGCGCAGGAATCCAAGCCTAATAATTGGATGGGAATTGCATCTTGGTCTAGAAGTTGCGTACCAAGTGAGCTCAATCAGTTGCGCACGGTCGAGTCTTCAAATTCTTCTACCCCGAATGCCCAGGGCGCATTGTGCTCTTTTCTTTCTGGAAAGCTGTTGGAGTGCGCATCCTAGACATGCTAGAGCTGATTTCCAGTTAGGTGTAGAACGTCAGTACTGTCGGTCAGTGTCGTGCAATGTTATCGCATGAGCTGATTGTAAAGTAACTGGTGGTGTTAGTGGACATTATAGCGTAACTTGTAAGTTAGTTCCTTGGTCCTCATTTCTTCTTATAAATCTTTTCTATTCGAAAGTCTTCCTGCTGTTTGCGAAGTCATGCACTCAAGTGACGTTAGTTACAGTATAGCCGCTGTGGAGTGCCCGGGGTGCTGAAGTCGTTGCTACATCTCCCGTGTGGCGACACTACGCAGCTTTAGTCCAACGCGATAACACACAATGAGGCTAATACTTGTAATAATACCAACAATACGTACAGCTAGCACCTTCCCTGAACATGTGAGGCTGGATCATGAGTAGGAACAGTGAGGCTATACGATGACCATATTAGTGTTGACATAGTGAACGCATTCAGGCTACAGTAGAGATCCAGTATGATAACAGTGTTCAGTCAGAAGGGTCGGGCACAAGAAAAGATTACTACGAGGTTTAACGCTACAGGTGCTGAGGTATTTCGCGAAGATGTTCGTGTATCGGATGGATAGTACAAGTGGAGCAATAACAGAATGATGGTGATGATGATGATGACGGCATATCGCAAGGTAGCGGCTGACACAATGGCGGACACAATACGTGAGTAACTAACAGTGCTATCAAGTACGGCTTGCATCCACATGAAGAGTCGTGTGGACGGAGAACGCATTGTACCCTGGCTGGTCGCAAGTGCTGTGGGTGATTAATTTCCTACTCGTTCAAAGTAACTACTAGTTCCTCTAGGTGTCATGTGCGCAGCCTTGTGGGTCCATGTACCAAGCGCTTGGACTGCGAGAGGAGGAAGGAAGGGACGTGCTCAGGGCGTGCGCGCGTGCGTGTGTGTGTGCGTGTGTGTGTCAATAACGAGCTGGCAAGACTATGGTAGTAGGCCAGTTCAAAGTACAATGCCCTGTGTTTTAAGACGTATCCATGCACATAGCTAAGTACATTATTTACCACACCTAGTCGCTGCAGCCATTCCAGACACACTCAGCATTCATGTGGCAAAAACATCTACATGTACATGTACAATGCCAACTACTCGTATGCTACACCCGTTACAGAAAGACCCCAATGCCATGGTCACGGGCCTTTGCACGTAGACTATCCAGCATTGCTTTTCAGCTCACTATACATGTAAGTGTGTACGTGTATGGGATAGGAATGGCAATGAGAATGGACACTACTTATGTACACTTGAAAGAAACACAAGTACAAGCCGCGTACTGGTTTGGACTGTGTTGTCGTTGTTGCCCAATGCTACCTAACATCGCAACGCAAACGGGCCGTGGCGCCTTCTTTCATACATGTGAATGCCAGAAGAGCTGTAGTGAAAGAAGAACACAAATTGAGAGAGGGAGAGCAGATATTGCACCAGAGAAGGAAACGATAAAAATAGAAAACTACCTGCTAATACCTAGACAAGACAGTGTTAGTTGTTAGTTGTACAACTCGCATTGTGCGTAGGAATTGCTGCAAAGAACGTGATTTCTGGCTCAGCCGATCGTGCAATGGGTTTCTGGCGTCACAGATAAGCTATGATTTCATTAGCAGTTTAACCAGTGATGGTGATGGACACGGACCAGACATGACTCGCGAAGTCCTACAACAGCGAAGTCTTGCAGTACTGCAAATGGCTACCAGTATCATTCTATCCCGTCAGCAACCCTCGATTATTATTATTCTCTTATTCCGCGATGGTGTGACGCCAATAACACAGATTGATAAATTAATGTGATAGAACTGATACTGGCTAGAAACAGCTAGATGGAAATCAACCCGGTGATGTGCATCCAAATACACCATGGCGCTACATGGACACTGGGCTAGGTCAAATAATGCCCATGACAAACAGTTCACAATAACGACGGCGATTCGCATTAGCGCGGAGGGGAAATGGCGAAATCCTACACCCTGCCTTCATGCATCTGAGAACTTGTATCCGCGCGACGTATGATCTCGCGGTGCGGGACAGTCACTGTAATAGGATCGTGATTCCTCCACGGGTCATCTCGAATGCAGCTTCCCAACCGATGCAAATAATGTACTGGCCACCGCGCACCATTAGACAGTTAATCATCTTCAGAAATAATTATAAGTATACGTTAATGATTGGATTGGTATTGTTACATCTCAAGCGGTTGTGGTGAAAATCCAATGTGACTGTGTTCATTGGTAGTTGAAAGGTCGAGAACAGTTCCTTCTGGCCTGAGATTGCTTCACATAGCAACATGTAATGATTTAAAGTTTAAACGCCTCCAAAGGGAGAGAATCAATAATAACTATTGCTTCTGCTCCAACCGATATGGAAGGCATTCAGTAGGTCTGATACATCCAGTACATATTTCCAACAATACCAACAACAAAAAAGGTCGAGGACAAACGTTGACGTAAGCTATAGGAGTGATGAATACTCTGCTTTGTGTGGTATCAGCCCTGGATACAATCACGTGTTAGAAGTCACGTCGAGTGCTGTATGTTATGGGAACAATAGTACAACTGCCTCTAGGCACTAGAATATCGGCTAAGAAAGTTTAGCAAACCTAATTGCTGCGATTTGGTACACTGCATGCTCGACTGACGCGGAAATGCGTTTGCAGGTGAGCGTCGCAACATCTCCAGGTTGCCCATTCCCGCGGCAATTGGCGCCACATAAATACTAGAATCAGCTTGCTCGAGGCGTATTCACAAGTGGCATCCTACAACAACGAGGCTGCCGCGTCGTTTCCCACTAATGCTCTACATTCGAAGGTGTAATACCATGCACCTGCGAAGACGTGGAGTAACAAGACAAGAATCGATACACCCCCTCCCCCTCCACTCCACTCCACTGGGGTTATTTACTCTCGATAATAAAAATTATTCTATGGATGCGCGTGCGTTCCTTGACCTTGGCTTGAATTCAATGAGCTCAAACCTATCTGGCCTGAATCACGAGTCACGTGATGCATTCGTCCTCGGCGAGTGTATAACTACGAGTACAGCTTGGGTTTGAGTGCAGTGAGGTGTACCAACAGCACAGTACATAAACAAGTCATTGCGTGTAGACTACTACTAGTAGAGCTATACTGTAAAAAAAAATCTTTATTTCAGGATGACCCAAAGGCTAACGCCTATCTGGCCTGGGGATCTCCTATTTGTGTATGTACTAGTGACATAGGTAGTGTGAAAATGTCAAGCGAAACCCGCACTAGGCGTGCAGTGTATGTGCCATCAATTGTTATTGTCGCCTTTGTTTGTGACAGACAAGAGCTATAGCAATAGCAAAAAAGCTCATGTTCACATAATTCGGAGGGACCGAGCTACCGGTTTTGTGGCTTATCAACGGTGTTTCGCTCCTTCTCTGAACGTTCTTGGGGCCAGGATATGTTGATGTGGAGGTGTGCGCCTGTTCAGCTACATGCCCAGCTGGAACAGCATTTCAGTGGATAGTACAATACTAGCAAAGCACGCCAAATGTCCCCTGCACTGGACGATGCAAGGTCGGCTTGCACCATGCAACAAAGAGACGTGCGTACGTGATTGGATGCTACCAACAAAGACGAGACAAAGGAGCGTGATCTCGTCCCATCTAGTATTCTGATGAGAACCCGATCGACCCATTATTACTGTTATGGTCTAGGTCTTCGTGCGGTTGAACCTAAGCCCAGGATCTTGGACCAATAAACGTGCACAGGCCAGGAGTGGAATGGATCAAGTCAGCTAACGTCCAGTGTACGTGTCGGCCAGACTGTTGAGATAAGGCGTCGCTTGAACGCCATGTGCGGAAAATGAAGCGAGGCTGCACACTGCCTGCAATGGTACGTTTGCGGTCAAAATCAACTGCGCTATGATTGTCCAGTCGTGGCCAAAGAAATCCGACCCACGACTCATGAGTCTAACGCCGCGTTCCCATTTCAATCACATTATGCATGGTCCAAAAGTGCCCGAACCAAATCGATGGCCGCAGGGGCCGCATGAGCCTTGGCACTGCTTTGGCACGTGGGTCGGATTTCTTTGCCCGCGACTGTAGGGGAAGCCAACTCCAGCTGCCATCGATAAGGGATTCTCTTGCGCCACGCGAGTAGGAGGGTGCTTTATTCAGTCGTTGAACCTGTGATCTTGAGACAAGCACACTCGTGATTATTCCGTGCTAATGCTGAAGACCAATTCCTTCTAAGTCGTTAAAAAGTTTCGACAAACTGTTTCCACATCGCAAGCCGATCGTATAGGCAGTCGAATGACGGTAGTCAGAGCCAGGTTACGACTCTTCACAGAGCAGACGCTGCCTGTAAACTAGCTTTAACATTATAATAGAATTATTCATTTCATTCCATTCACTGCCAATGCGGCCTGCCCTGCTTCCAATATTGCAACAACGGTCGACATGCGCTGACAGCATTGTCATGGAGGCAACCTGGCAGAGGATGGCTTCGCTGTGGCTGGCTGCAACGGGCAGCTAGCCACCATCCCGCATACAGTACATAGGCGATCACCTTTTACACGAGATGATGGCTGTTTCAGGCGTAGATCTACATGCCTTGACCAGTGTGTCTTCACTATGCTTCGCATGACGGACATCTTTCATAACGTTAGTCGAGAGAGTCGTGCTGCTATGCTAAAGGTCAGCTGATTAGAGCGGTTTCTGTTTTGGTTGCACACAAAAAAAGGCCAGAAGGAACGTGGCGATCGTGTTCGGGGCACCTGTTTGATCGCATCAGTGCTTACTTGCATGTCGGAACTTTCCCCAGCAAAATGATTAGTGTCCGCGTAGTCGTGCTCCTCGCTGAGTACGCGGACAACAAACGCATAGGTATTCGTGTTCAAAACAATAGCTTCCAACAAAACGGCTGGCGAACAAGGTCATACCGAATCCAATGTGTTACCTAGGAAGCTGCCATTGGCCCGCTTTGATCCGCTATTATAAGTATGAGGTGACTTTTCCTTTCAGTGTGACATCTACATGTAGAGCGTTGGCAAGTACGCGGTCCCGACACAACAAGTATTGTATCGTATTGTATTACATGTATTACTTTATTAGCAAGTGCTGCACGTTCACAGGTAGAGACACTGTAACAAAATTAATAATTGCTGTTTTGTACTTGTGCCAAGTTTTGGCAGGCTGACCGACCCCTTATTAATAGCATTTCCTCGGCTCGCGTCGTGTCAGCGAGCAATGCGGAGACTGAACTGGAGGCTAGCGTATTTGCGTGCGTGCGTCCGTGTGTGTCTGTGTGTATAGGTAGGAGTAGGTGTATGCATGTGTGTGTTCGTGTCTGTGTGTGCGCGCGAATTGCATACCGGTAGTTTTTGTTCCAACTCGCACCAAGACCAGTGGACAGTTACTGCACGTGTTGGTTCCTCAGTATCAAGTTAGTTACGTAGGATCGATGCATTGATAGTGACTCTCATTTGCTGCTAAAACCTTCTTATAAACCATGTGTAGACAAGGCCCAAGGGAGTAGTAAAATACACTATTCAAGTTTACTTCTCCCTGGTGGAGACCATACAAAATCCGACAGGACATGTACGGCTCGTAGAACAAGTCAAATATCCAGGACACAGTTCGCCTCAAACCCAGAGTTTCGGAAAGTACAGAAGAAGTAAAGGCTGGGTAGCTAAATTCTCTCCGGAGAAGTCCACTAAAGCACTTTTGAAGGCATGCCATAACATAGAAATGGAAGGCGATGCATATCTCGTGCTTTCCACCCTGCTGAAAAGCATGACATATCGGTACATTGTATCTTCACTCCATGTCTGTTCAACCGCGTGAAAGTAGCCGCGTTATCAGCATCAGGTTCACACCAAAACTTGGCAAAAGGGTTTCTGTGCTAGGAGGTAGTACAGTATGTGTGAGGGGTACGCGGACTAGGACGATCTCCAGACTTCGCTGATACATGTACATGTACGACTTGCCTCGACGATGGCATAAGAAAATGGCGATAAAGATAACAATCTTCTCGCGCAAGTCAGCTGTGTGCTACTTCGCGTGACGAAGCCATCCACAACTCTCCATGACACAGGTGTGAGATCTACTCTTGCGTGACAAGAGAGCACTACTCTGGTATGATTCTCTACGCCTTATCTTCTGCATAGCAACCGCCAACGTTGCTCGCCGCCGCTGGTCTATTCCCACGCACTTGATGTCAACCCGTCACCGCGCAGTAAAAGCTATTATGCTTGTCATGGATATGATTTGTCTGCGGCAGACCAGAGGGACCTGTCTTTCGTTAACGATCGACAGTAACTAACCGTTCCTTTCAGGCACCCCAGCTACACTCGACTACAAGTCAAGTCTTGTTTGTGAGGCTGAATGGCGTGTTCAGAGTGAAAACGACTTACAAAATGGTGTAACTAACGAGTTACTTGATGCGGCTATGGAGCCCGGCGCTGCCCAGAGCAGAATCCAACTGCCCAGCAGTACAGCAAAGTCACTCGGGTTAGCGCCGGGCGGAGCTATGCCATGGATGGAGAGGGAGAAGGGAGCTAGGTGTGCACGACAGAGCTAGCCTCACGGAACAGAACTATAATACTGTCTATAGCCAGAAGTGACGGACAGGTCCCCGTAGGTCACGGAAGAACCACGGTGGTACACGACTGTTGTTTCGTCCTGGCATGGCAATGCAGCAAGAAAGGAGGCCTGTACTATTTCGGTTCTCCTGATTAGCTAGAGTGACACCGTGTTGCTACTAACGGCGATTTTGTGTGAGAGAGACACTGCAAACTGCGAAGTCACACCCGGGGCCTGATGGTTTGACCGGCTGGGCAGCCAGACTGCTCGTGCACAAGACCAGGTCGGGGTAGCGGGCTGCATCGTCGTAGATCTACGTCTACCGTGAAAACCATGTTTTCCAGGGATATTCTAGTCTAGATCCACAGCCTTGTCTCACACCTCGACACGCAACCTGGTTCCTTTGCGTGAGGGACGCAAGCGAGAAGAAGAGGAAAGACAAGCGCCCGGCTGCTAATACTACCATGAACATCTGGAAGAAGACGGAAAGTGATTTGACCACAGCGAATGCCACACACCATTCACATCTTCCCGAAAAGAATGCTTCTATCGAATGATTTTTGGATGACATCGGAAACGCAACTTTCCTGCAGATGCTTCTCGTCTTCAAAACCAAAATATCCTCAGCAACCACTTCTCTTCCTCTCCTTCGTTCTCTCATTTTGGATACCGCTTCCCGTTGTGTGTGCAACTGTGCATCCTCACGGCCCATATCCGGGCAGCGCAAACCTGTTATCATCTCTACGAGATGCGGGGAAACACGAAGGACGCATACATAGAAAAAAAGTACAAAGCTATCGCCTGTAGTATTGGCGAGGGTATACACAACAATAATGTCTGTTCTGCTTGTCGGTTGATGAGAACTTCGCGCATAATGTGCGTGACGCACGGCATACAGGCACACGCGTATCTGAGCCATAGTCATACGCATCCGGACCATGGACCATAATACTAGCCGAGGATCTCTGACAGTGGCACTGACTGTGTTCTATGTCTGTGTGCTTGTCTGATTCTGTAGATGTATACGCAGACGCTCAAACGCGATCCGCACTTCGTGCTGGCCTACTTCCAACGAGCCCAGGCGTTTCATCTCTACGGATGGTAAGTAGTTTAGCAATACAGTTGCCAGGAAAGAAGCAAATTGCATGTAAAAGAATACAGTCATGGCTACTACTTCAAGTAATAGCACATTAACTATTATGAAGCAAAGACGGATTCCTCTTATGTTCACCGTTCAGAACTTCAGGTGGGAGAAGTCTTCAAACAAGATTGGAACTCAAATCATAATCTTTTTTGTACGTACATGTACAATGCAGCTGTGTACATGCAGCTATGAAACGTGAAGCGGCGAAATTTGTCCTTTTTGACTTTGACCTGGATTATTTCCTGGTGGCAGTCTACAGTCTGACAGGTGACTCTCAAAATTGGCATGTACATGTATTACGTGTGTGTGTAGCCCCTGTTACGTTGATGCCTTCTCCTAACCTATTGTCTGGTCGCTGTGTTTGCTGATGTTAGGGACGAGGACACGCTACGAGATCTGGGCGAGGCACAGCGTCGCATGCGCGGCTCCAAGTTCATCGACTATCGCAACCTGGGTCTGGACAAAACGCTGTGGGAGTGCGTGGTAAGCTGAAACGACCGGACACTGATGTAGCCACCGAGAACGCCGCCATACACTGCACGGTGGCGTCCGATCATTCATGGGACTAGTCGACTACAAACTAACTTCGCGTGCAGAGTCATTTTGCGATCAATGGCACAAATAATTATATTCTAAATGATTGTGTCAACACACAATCATCGACAAGAAAGGGAGAGAACCCAGTTCAAGGTTTTACACCTAACCTCACCCTAACTCTATGTAATCTTCATCACAAATCAATATTCCATTCAGTGTGATTCCGCAATGCCCAATGCAATAGGGCTTAAAAGTGATGACGTCAAAACGGCCAGGGAGTACTAAGTTGACAACAGATTTCTATTTTGGATCCACCAAGGTGTGACTTTGCTATTGCCTCAGTATGTGGGTGCATAGCAACCCACTCATGTCGTATGCAGGGGTGACTTTTACTTCGCCACCAGTTGTAACCCCGCCCCCAGTAGCCAAATCAGTCAGTTTCACTGGTTACATCACCTTGCTGTGAGTCAGACGGCTTGAAATGTGCTTGGATCCATACAAAAACTGGATCCAAGTGGATCCAATTTTTGAATTTTTGAAATTGTTGCTATGCTGTGACGTAGCACTTTAAAGCCCTATCATCAGGCTGAAGACTCTGCAGAATCATAATAATTATTGTTATTAGCAAAGGGATATGAAAGTTGAACAATGAAACTGACTTCAAAGTGTGTGTGTGTGTGTGTGTGTGTGTGTGTGTGTGTGTGTGTGTGTGTGTGTGTGTGTGTGTGTGTGTGTGTGTGTGTGTGTGTGTGTGTTATCATGCTGTCTGTTGCTCCGCTGCAGATCTACGTCAACGTAGCCATTGCCTATATCGTACTGGGGCTAAAACGTCACGCCCTGCAGCAGATCCAGACAGCATGGCAATCGCGGCAAGAGTCACTATCGTCTCGGGAGCTGAACGGAATCAGCGAGCGGGAGGTTGATGCGGAGATTGAGGTAGGCTGTGGTTTGTTTCTGTTGCTGTACCATTGCAAAGGCTGTACAGTCAACTTCGCTAATAACGACTGCGGATATAACGACAATTCGCGAATAACGACAGCACTTCCAAGTCCCATCCAGCTGTAGTGCATACAATGAGACTTCGGGTGTAACGACACTTTGCGAATAGGGACACGTTTCTGATGCCCCGCCGCCAAGTGTCGATATACGCAAAGTTGACTGTATAGGTGTATGCTCCGATGAATTAGAGAAACCTAGTTGTTATATCCCACACTCTTCCCAAATACTAAACAGTCATCGGGCCTAGGTCCAAAATTTAATATGAGTTCATGCATTGATCTGGGTGCAGGAGGGGGGGGGGGGGCTGTGCAGCACCAATAGGCAGGCCCGGCAGAACCTGAGTCCGGTTGGCCAGGCCATGACCAGACCAACTTTTGGCCATCAATAAGTTACGTGCTTACTGCTAAGCAACGGGTCATGTGTCTACCCTCCATATCCTACACAAAGCATGAAAGGCAAGGGTATGGCAGCACCAGTCAAAAACTGCTTCCACCAGTCCTGTTACGCTACTGTAGTGGACTTTAGAATTTCAAAGGATCAGTCGGGGAAGTGAACTGCCTGAAAAGAGAAAAGAAATGCCTACCCCACCAGGACTCAAGCCTGGTAGATCTACCTTGCTTGTGATGAGCAGTCCTCTAATCATCTGAGCTATGAGATCAGGCCAAACCTAGAAGGCGCTGACAAGTCTTTGCAATAAGCCTATTGTGCACTGACGTAATTTGTACCATACACACCCCACACAGCCACCTGGGCATGGTCGTGTGAGGTGTTGAACAGTGCATTGCTGATCCCAGCATACTCACATGCATTACCCATACCTTCCATATTTGGCAATGTGCAATGGGCTTATTATCGTTGTTTTGGTCCAGGCCGTCGTACCGACATCCGTTCTTCATGACATCTACACCTACTGTACTGACACGGAGAAACACAGCGCCGGAACGTGCGCCTTCCTCGCTTTCCAGCCACCGCCTGTCTTCCGTCCGCACGGTCTGGCGTCGCTGTGGCTGAACGCGTCCAAGAGAATCAAACGGGACTTCCTCGGCAAGTCGCAGATGGTCTTCAACAAGACGTCACTGAAAGGAACCGGATTCGTTGGAGCAGCGGTAAGTCGTAACTTTATGACTGCACAGAACTGCATCACGTGTGCAGTCAATATCAACGCTATGCCGATCGTCCATTTCTGTGTATGTTCAGGTGTTTTGAGACTGAAGCGGCTTCGGTCTGATTGATTCGAATGTGCTCCACTCCACCAAGGCATGATGAAGCCTGGATGCCATCATTTAACCGAGTCATAATCTTACTACATCACGGATTGATGTAGCGTATGTATCCATCCGTGGATGACGGCCAGTGTGTTTCTGGTTCTGTCTTCAATGCTCATCGCCAGGCTCGAGCATTGAATACGGGGATGAACTCTCGACCTCACACTGCCTTGGACACATAAGAAACCATGTGCACTTCCATGTGAATTTCTTGAAGTGTACTGCATTGCCTGCATGCTAGTACTCATCTGCAACAGTAGACGCATGGGTGCAACTGATAACTGAGTAGGGCATACCTAACAAGCAACAACAAGCAACAGTGTCCTGTTTCTTGGTTTATTTTCTATCCTCCCAGGCCAAAGCAGCTGGTAAGCCTCTGCCCGTGAAACCAGAGATACCATCGAACCGGTACATGTCTATCGGAAGAGTGATGAGGACGCTGAACAGAGGAGAAGAACCTCCAGGAGTGGTAAGGACTCAATGAATAGAGCCGCACCGCCATCGGAATTCACCTACAAGTACTTACAACAGTAAAAGTCATCACACTACATGAATGCCAATAGTAAACTTCCGAACTGAAATAGAAATGTGCAGTACCTTGTCCGAGTCCTCCATCACTAGCTGCCATTGCATGACTTTCGGCCTTGGCTCTTTGCAATTACACTGCAGTTCTCTTTCTCCGAGCATGCTGAAATTGTGCCACGGCTCGCTTCAGTTGCAATGAAGCTTTTATTTGCACTGCATCACCATGGTTGTGCCCAGCGTGTTGCAAGACCTCTTCCCACACCGGCATGCAGCCACTGAATGTGTTCTCTACATTTATCTGTTGACTGCTACCTGCCTGCAGATGGCCCGTTCTCAATCGGAGTCCTGCACCAAGACAGCGGCAAGTGGTGGCAGCAAGCTTGGCAAGCTGCAGCTCAAAAAGATGCGTAGCCGGAGCTTCCCGCCGCCAAAGCCCCAGGTGAAGTTCCACCCGCAGACCAAACAGTCCAGCGACCCTGACATCTCGCTCTCAGCCGCGCTCGAGGACCAAACATACGAGAATGTGCTGGTAACAAGCTCCGGTCAGGCAACAAAGTCTTCGTCAACATCCGATGTCCGTAAACCCGGTGTTACCCCACCACCAAGACCCACCAGTAATCCACAGCGTCCACGCCAGGAGTCCAATGCTCTATTGCCTGCGTCCAAGCAGGTGCTGTCACCGGATTCAGGCATTGAACACGATGAGCAGCTGGCATTCCCCAAGCTAGTCAGCCCGGCGACAATGGACGGCAACGACGTGTATGAGAATGTGTTCAGCGGTACAGACGGCGGCACACAGCCTGTGCCTGCGGCCGCCACGGCTGCTACAGGCAAGGACGGGGCTCTGTCGTCATCGCAGGACTCTGAAGCAAGCGCGCTGCTGTCGTTGAACTTGCTCAGCGAACAGCTGGTGAAGGACGGCTCGGCGGAGAATTCCGACGTCATCCTACGTGCAATAAATTCAGTGACGGAAACCTTGCAGCGCGGCAGCACGTCAAGTGCCCACCTCAGCATGATCTCGGAGGATGCACTGGACTCGCTTGACGAGGAGAGCAGATCAATCTATGAGAACATCCAGCCGGGTCACCCGACGCAGAGCACCAGCACACAGTCTTCGGTCACCTCACCGACTACACTACAATCAACATCGAGACTGGACAGCACCTCACTCATGCCGGCCATACCGAAGAGTTTGTACAACGGCAGCGACAAAGAAACGGCAGCTGTAAAAGGTCTCCCCAGGGCTAGCTTTGATGTTGCCGGGGGCAACGACGATAACATTTACGACGACGTTGACCAGGAGGAAGCACTCGTTGATATGCCTAGAAGACGGCGTCTTAGTAGCGCGTTCTCCATTCTGAACACCGGCGGAAACGTGACTGGGGTAGCTGGTGCAGCAGCTGCTGCCGCCGCCGCCGCTGCAGCTGCTGCTGCCGCAGCTACTGGTTCCGCCGGTGCTGCATCTGCACCTAGTGGTGGTGGTAGCTCAGAGCAGGAGCACTCGGAAAGTATCCATGAACAAGAGATGCCGATGCCGAAGCAGCCACCGGCCCCCATGGTGTATCAGAATGTGCAGTCGTTGTGCCTGCCTAGCTTTGGCACGCCGAGCAAACGGCCAATTGCAACGCCAAAACGCCCACCACCGCCCAAGACAGCTAAGCCCACAAAGGCGCCAAAGCCTAGCAAAGCCGGCAGTGGGAAGCCGCCGATTCCAAAGCGCCCGGTTCGTGTCACCAAGGAATCGCTCTCCAACATTGGCAATCCGGTCATCCCTCCACGTCCACCTGTGCCCGGCTGCAGCAAGCCACGCAAGATCATGAGACAAGTGCACGTTGACAGCTCCGACTCCGACACGTCTTCGGGCTACTGTCGTTCGTCATCAACGAGTACGTCGCAGAACGGCGAGGACCGGGATCGGATGAACAGCTCCTCGTCGTGCAACAGTGCCTTTGGGCCGTTGTCGCTGCCCAAGCCGAGACCACGTGCCGCTTCCGTGACGTCTCTGTCATCGCACGATGAGCTTGAAGTCGACAGCGGTATGTACGAGGCCATCTTTATGGAGGACTCGCCAACCGGCGGTGGCCTGCAAGGAAGGCCGGATTTATTCGATGACCCTCGTTACGGTGTCCCGAACATCCCAAGGCCCGAGCGCATGCCAAAGCCCATCAATTCTACCAGCAGTGCCAGTAAAGCGCTAAATGCAATGCGTACCCGGCCAGCTGCAAATCGCAGAACTCCCAATGCCAGCAATGGAGCGCCGCGGGCAAATCAGGCCTCCAAAGGCGCTCCAAAGCATGCAGTCAGGGTCCACTGATGCTCATTGTGCTTGGGCATAGGGCATATCCACCCATCACCTGTGAATCCTCTCTCTCTCTCCGTCAGTATTATTATTATTCTAAAAATTGAGTTCCTACTTCCTAGACCCCCATTTATGGCACAGCTTACATGGCCCTAGTATTTCCGTCTTTCGCACTAGGCCTCAGTTCTGGCTGCTTCGCTCCTTCTAGTGAACCAAAACTGCTCTTCAGCTCGACTTCAGCAGCACTGCACCCTATAGGCCTAGTCAGTCGTCCAATACATTGTAGCTTCATCATTTTATAGTGGATTATTTTTCCTATTTTATAACATCTTGGGCAGATTTTGTGATGGCCAAAAAAGGCTCCGTCCAGTGTGCCATGTAAAAGTGACCGAATTATATCATTTTAAAACGACATTGAACCAGAGCTTTTGATTCTACTTCCAAGCATTGAGTTTATTGACATTTCTTTCTATCTTTAATAAATTGCAACTGCAAACTATCATTGTTGGCGATGTTCTCGCTGCAGCGTTGTTGCTTGTCCGTCTGTTCTTGTGATGCTAGTTTCCAGCAGCTGTGAGATGAGGTGGGTGGGGGAGAGGGGTCGACACTGAGCCATATTTCAAACAGTGAATGTGGGATAAGCGAACAGTAGCGGCAAGACTGCAAGTAGGCACACCATGCGGATAACAGACGGCAACAAAAGCTGCAGCTTGCATTTTTATTTTTATATTTTATTTTTTACTGAATACCACAGTACCATCAGATGCTGCACAGCGGGGGCGGTGGCATATTGGATGGAAGTGGGGGCGGGGCAAAAGTAACTCCTCCGACCAAAGGTCTCGGAATCATCGTTACTCCTGTGCGCCGATACATAGGAGAAAAGAAACATGTGCATCCAAGAGGGAAGCACCGGCTTTGCAAACGATAATGGGGAGAATTTGAGATTGAGATAGGACAAAACAATAGTAAAAGCAGTGCACCGTAGGAAGATGGAGAGAACAGTTAACTGATAATCGGATTTTAAGGCTGAGCGAAAGGGATCAAAGAGGGGTAGAAGGGAGCTGGAGTGCGGTCAGTATAATTAGGCTGGTGTGTTGGCAGAGATCATAGCCTGTCTGTGGCCCACTCCCACTTGCTGCGCCGCAAGTGGTCGTTGACGTTTTTTCTTGAACGTGTGCATACCTCTGCGAGAAGGGGGAGACTGCAGAAGGGTAGGTGAGAGCTGATTCCACGTTGCGATGAGGGAGTGGGGAAATGAGCGGAGCGTGTTGTTTCGTGACTGAGGAGGAAGGATACTGGTGAGTTGCGATGGATGATGTGTTGCAGATCTGGTTTTCTCACGAGTAGACATGCGGCATTGCGGTGCGGCTGCTGATGGTGGCAGAATGGCCTTCACCATTTCCGGACCCTCCACAAAGTGCAGCTTGTACAGAAAGCAGAGCCCGGCTACGGTACGGCGAATGTCGAGGCTCGGGAGGTATGATCCATCTCCAATTATGTGCAGCCTGGGCACGGCGCTGGATGGCAGTGAGGCGGGCCAAGGTGGTGGGGGCTGCACTCATCCACACCAGCATGCCATACTCTAACACAGGGCGGACAAAGCCACGGTACACGATTGCCCGGTGCTTTGGGTCTAGCACAGCCGATGCCTTACAGAGGAAGCCGAGCCGCTGGGCTCCGCGTACTGCAAGCTGTCGGATATGGCTGCGGAATGCCAGCTGCCTGTCGAAGGTGACGCCAAGAAGCTTGAGCTCCTCTACTTCTGGCACGACTGCTCCTTGGAAGCGTATTGCGTTCGAGGGGGTTGGCGAGCGGTGGTGGCTGATGGTCCATGCCTGCGACTTTGTGGGCTCGAACTTGATCCTCCACCTGCTTCCCCATGCTGCCAGTGAGTCTACTGCCTGCTGGAGGATTGCTGTTTCTCAGTTCTGGCAGTCTGAGTCGGGTGGTGATGCACTTGTAGAGAGTTGTGTCGTCGGCGTATACAGCCAGCTTTGCCCCATCAGGCAGGTGGTCTTCTGCGTCGTTGACGTACAGAAGGAAGAGGGTGGGGCCGAGGATGCTGCCCTGCGGCACGCCAGATTGGATTCGGTGGGTCGGTGAAGACTGGCCACCTATGACGACACGGTAAATGGAACCAAGAGTACATAACCCCATGGGGTTATGTACTCTTGGTGGAACTAACAATAATTAGAGGATGAAAAAGTGGTAAATGGAACTTAAGGACATCTTTTGCAAAATATCCTGTTCCAGAAGGCTCCTGATTCCTGCCCCACCTTTCCTCGATTTGACATCTGATATTGTGGTAACCAAGGCAATACCGACGACTCCCGCGATCCCTGGATCTGGCCCTAGTATAGTACTGGGGTATGCTGCACCCTAATAAAATTCCTTCTACTCCCTACTAGTAGCTCCTGCTTCTACTACGGTCAGGATTTATGAACAGCCCTCGATCGCAGATACTCTCTTCCCCTTTTTTGGGTTTATTCCAGCTACGTAGATCTATATATGGAGTGATCCATACGCATTGCACCGGAGAAATAGGGGTTATGTACTGTTGCAGCTTGATGTCACAATGATGTGCCCGCAAACGAGGCCTTGCTAGTTGCTGGCGTGTCATTTATGACATTAATTAATTATTTTGTAGTTCGTATGACTCATGCGTACGTGGACCGTTGTTCCGAATATGTCACCCAACGACTTCTTTGGCTTTGAACACCTACCATGCATGCTGCATGCTGGGACCCACGGGGGCCCGGGGGCCGGGGCACGGGTACGGCTGAGCCAGGATAGTGGGTGGTACTCTTTCGTGTGGGTGTGTATGCATTTGTGGTGGTGGTGTTCGTGTGTTTGCGTGATATGGCACAGTCAGTTAGTGCGACTACAATGTAATACTCGACTATTCGACAAAGTGTTTCAAGGAGTTGGCTGGATTTGTTTGGAACTGCACCGCCATAGACGCGGCTTGTCGGATCCTCTCTAACCCACAGAGACAAGTAATGGCTCCATGAAGCATCATCGAGATGGGACGTCTAAAAGACTAAAAGAGGATATTTGAATTGTCTGCTTTGTAAACCAGTAAGTTTGCAAAAGTCTTCCTGTTCGTGCCAGCTGTGCTCATGTTCGAGAGTGATTACGGGAACATGTCGAAGGGAAGCATCCTCAACAACGCCAGGGATGCGCCACGACCGAGCATTCGGACCATGAAATCACAGCTCTATGGAGATTTCGAAGAGTGAGTCTTTCTACTCGTGGTGATGACTGTTGAGATTTATGAGAGCTCTGATAAGAAATTTGTCATCTCGAAGCCACTGAAAACTCAATCTCCGCTTTCCTGTCACTGCGTTTTGGCATTGCTTCTTTTCGAAGCGGACAAAAATACACGTGTAGGGCAATATGAACAAGACAACATAACTCAGAGCAATCGTACAGGACCCCACTGGTGTGATGTACTCTTGATATGAACTCGGCGGTGAGCCAATAAAACTTGTCATGATTTTTTATATAGATCAGAGGAAAAGACGAATATTTAAATTGGCATGAGTTATTACTAAAGCCTCGCTCGCATTCGACGGCGCAAGGAGTGCAGGCGTGTAGCCAGAGTGGATACCATGTACTAATCCGGCATCCATACGCGATTGGCCAGCACATGTCGAAATGCACCGTACTGCTACCGGTTCATGCACAGGTCTACAGGCACTGACTTCACGCGCGGAGTCTACTGTTGACTGAAGAGGAGTACGCAGGATGTACATGCAGACGTCTGGTCTGCACGTACATAGCATAGTCCTGTCCCCACAGGATTCCGCGGACGCGCATTTTTCCGCGTTATTGGCTTTCATCCCCGTTTTCCAGAAATTTTTGCATAAAATCCGCGTTATCCATAGGAATGTACAAGAAAATAGTACATGATGCTGAAAATGTACTACAAAGTCGTACCCACCCATGAGTTTGTACGACAAAGTTGTATGCTTGCATGAAACTGTACGCTAAAATTGTACCAAGGACAGATAACACGTGCATAATGACCGCATAATCCCGCATCCCGGTATTTGATGCACTTGACCTTTGGTCGGTGTACGAGATTCATGAACAGAGCGCCCCTACCTCCTCCACCCTTCGAGAAGGTCCAGGTGGGGAGGGTCGGATGGGCGAGTCCTACTTACCGCATTCAGTACTACAGTCAAATCTGCCGTTAGCGACCTCTGGTGTAGGCGACCATCTACCGTTAGCGACCGATTTTCCGTGCACCGACGGTTTCACATACAAACTGATCTGTCCAGAGCGACCATCTGCTGTGCGCGACCAGCGACCGCGATTTCATGCACGGTGGCTGCATTCAAATCTGCTGTAAGCGACCGCGACCCAGGTTCAGTAAGGTGCGAAACTGTACTTGCCAGTGCGCTGTCAACTGCAAAGTGTGAAAATGCGCTGTCTTGCAAGTGCGATCGACTGGCGCCTGGCCTAGCGCCTGTACCATGTGTACTGAGGCTGTGCTGTAGCTCTCAAGTCCAGGCAGTGTCGATCTACTGCCGTGTCGCATACGCGTACTATACGGGTATGGTCGTCGTTGAATATCCAATAAAATGATATTAAAAATCACATTATTCTCGTCGATTTGAGTACATGGAAGCATATACCTGGTATGCCGGATTTACCATACATCTGCCGTAAGAGACCATCTGCCGTAAGCGACCGCTTTTTCTTGCACCAAGGGGCGGTCGCTTACGACAGATTTGACTGTACATGAAAAAATACTCACCCTACAAAAACTGTTCATGCCTCTCCTACACCGACCAAAGGTCAAGAGCCAGGAGTCGTACAGACCCATCAAAACTCAGGGGTTGTGCGATCCCTTGTCAAGAGGGTGGTCACTGTTGCGTACATTTCCAACGGGGTCGAGCACCTGTCTGCAGTACAGTACTGCATCACAGAGCCATACGACGATGCAATCAATCACTTCCCTGACAAGAAGTCAGGGAGGGGCGGATGGAAAAGAGGGGGCGCTCTGGCGGGATTTTACGGTAGTAGTAGTAGTATTTGGGTGGTGTGTTATGATAGCATTTTTCTTCTGGTAACTCGGCACCACTAAAAGTAAATTATTCCTGAAGTGAAGGGAACTAACTCACGACGGCCGCTAACACGCGGTAAACCCTAGCGGCAGATGCAGCGCCTAACGGTGGGGGTGAGTGGATAAGTCTCACAACCACTGACACAAGTGCCGAGAAACCCCATTAGCCGCATCCATGTACCCCTTGTGCCTGGCCACAAGTTCCCAGTTGACTGTGGGTAGCAGCACGGCTGGAAAAACCCCTCCCAGGCAGGACTTGAACCAGGTACCTCTCGTACCTCAATCATGGTCTTTGACCAACCCACTGTGCCTGCCTGGGACTCAGCACCACTGGGGACTACTAAAGGGAGAATAGAAGCAAATTTACAATTGTAGGGGCTTCCAGAGCCCCTTTTCGATACCTATAATGACTTTGACCTACGGTTTTTATAGGGTTCCGCCAGCTGTTGACAAAGGAAAATCGTATCGATGAAAGAGTACGGGAGGTAAAAACCGTACACACTTCTGAAATGCGTAGCTTTTAGTAGTACACCGTACATTTTATGCAGAGTTCATTATCTGCGCCGTACTGTAATTAGCGACTTCAATCACGTGACCAAAAGGCAGAAATCCTTCGTCGCACGAATGTATGGTGCAAGCATGGTGTGCACGGAACAATTTTTCTCTCGACGTTCTACGCCTGCCTATGCGTTATTCATGTGCCCAGCGCCTTCGATTTTTACATGATGGGCAAGCGTACATGAATAGCTTTCCAACGGTGTGTCGCATGTCATGAGTCATCGATTTTTTTGATATATCGCTCCGTATTTTTAGTTTTCAAAGCCAACTTTCGGCATCTCAGCTACCTTGCCCGTCAATGACCGAGTCACCATCGTGTTCAGAGCCCTCGAATTAGTTTAGATAGGTTCATGGTAAGGTTCTCCGTAGCCGTTTTTAGCAGTTTGAAGAATTTGTGCGCAGCGGCTGAAGTCGGCTATGGAGAGCACTATTTGACGGGCTCTGCGTGACGGAGCGAGCAGACCTTGGGCTTCGGCTTGTAAATCCGCTAATGACGTTCTTCACCTCAAGATTCTGGAGGTGCTGGAGCAGGAGGTGATTATTTCAATCCATCAAAGTATGCAGAGCACGTCCCTTCCAACATGTACATGTACGCCAGTTTCTCCGTCACCCTCCAAGAACACCAAAAACCCGCATATCGCGCATACATTCACTGTGCATGCATGATATTCATGAGGTCCGGGAAACCCACTTTTGTGCCATTGCTCTGCATACAATTGCATACATGGCCTCCGACGATTGCACACCAACTTTGTGGCCTGATAACTCCGGTTTGGGACAAGATATACCCGTGAAATTTTCTGTGTGTGTTCTGCAGAGGTTTCTCTTTCCAGTCGTGTAATTTGTTGGCCCTAATTCCAATTTCAGAATTTTGGACTGAAGTCGCTACTATAATGCGTAGAGGAAGTTGTATGCACCTGTTAAGAGTATATTCAGCGGACTTTAAACTAATCCAAGGCCCGCGGTGCGTCATCAAAGAGTAGTAAAATTACGATTGAGTGGGCTTTAAACTCTGATAAGGCCCTTGCCGGGAAAGTCACTGATTGGTCGTCTCCTGGGCTACGAGACAGACCTCGTTCTAAATGAAATAATATTATAGAACGAGTGAAAGACCGAGGCGAAGCCGAGGTCTTTTACGAGGTCTATATTTCATAATATTGACCGATTATGAGAGCAATAATAGATTTATCACGACATAGCACACCTACACTGTTTTAGCTTTGTTTAGAACGAGGTCTGTCTCGTTGTCCAGGAAACGACCAATCAGCGACATTCCCGCCAAGGGCCTTATCAGAGTTTAAGCCCGCTCAATCGTAATTTTACTACTCTTGATGACGCGTCGAGGGCCTTGGATTAGTTTAAAGCCCGCTGAATATACCCTAAACTGGTGCGTACAACTCCCTGTATGCATAATAGTACGGTGCAGATAATGAACTCTGCACAAAATGTACGGTGTACTACTAAAAGCTACGCAATTCAGAAGTGTGTACGGTTTTTGCCTCCCGTATTCTTTCATCTGTACGAATTTTCTTTGTCAACAGCTTGCGGAAACCTATAAAAATCGAAGATCAAAGTCATTAGAGTTATCGACAAGCTCCACAAGCTACATGTATGAATAAGAATGAAGCTCGCAATAAGAGCCCAGCATTTCATTTGCTTCCATTCTACTTTTAGTAGTCCTAAGTGGTGCTGAGTTACCATAACTTACCAGAAGAAAATATTAGGGCTGAAACGATTATACCAATTACTCGGTAATCGATCGATAATTCCTTATCAATCGAGTAATCGTTACGTTATAGATTACTCGGTAGGGATTTTGAGTCCAAAAAGTACTGAAAACTCTTGTTTTTGTGAAGTTTGAATCAGTTTCCACTGTGAGTATGCAGTTACCTGGGACATGGTGCATATTCTGAGATTACATTGACTTCAAAACTGCCATGTTTCAGAGCTACCCTGTCACTAATGCAAATTTGTGGTATTATAATGGCTTAGATTTCGGAAACAGAGCAATGTTTGCACAAAATTCTGACACTATTTGCTAACGATTATAATCGATAAATCGATCGTTAAGCTCAAGAGTAATCGATAGGTGAAACTCCACGATCGTTTCAGCCCTAGAAAATATTCTTTCATACCACACCAAGTCTCTCTGCACACAAACCACAAAACTACCCAATATAGTGGTACACAAGCATAATGGAAGTGAGATAATGCATGTAACCTCGTTCTAAAATAGTGCATGGCAGGGAGGGTCGTATGGCTTGTTTGTGCCCTTCAGGGTAGCCCTCGGGCCTACGGCCCTCAGGCTAACCTGTCGGGCACTAACAAGCCATAAGGCCCTCCCTGCCATGCACTAACCTATAATTATGGGAAGAAAGGAATACTATTGTAATAGTACATAGTATGTACATATGCCGTTTACATTGGACATTACTTCTCTGTAAAGTTCACAAAGGCACACAATGAACACCTTGGCAAATTAATTCCGTTGTGACTCAGAGTTTCATGGCTGAACCAATCATCAGACAACGTTGTCTGATGATTGGTTCAGCCATGAAACTCTGAGTCACAACGGAATTAATTTGCCAAGGTGTTCATTGTGTGCCTTTGTGTACGCCGCTCTGCCTGAATCAGGCATTGAGCACTTTTGCAGAACCAAAGCATATTGCCTCTGTGTTCTCTGTAAAGTTCAGAAGTCTCAGTTGTCACTTGTAGTATGTTACTCTTTTCTTTCTTCTTTGGTGTACAAAGCTTCTTGTACGGGCAAAATTATTCTCATGCTTCGAAGTACATAAACCAATACAATTATGTCCTGAAAATACAAAAGATGACCCAAATGATAAAGTAATAGTGTTTGCGTTCCGGCTCTCCGCCTTCTCCATAGAAACACATGCCCATAATATCAAAAACGGGCAACACCAGCTTCTGCAACAACAACCTCAGCAGAGACAGGATCAGCAGGGAGGTGAGATGTGAATGTACTGCGAGCTCTGCGCAGGCACATGACACTGGCACGTAACAATGCAAAGCTCAAGCGGCAGCGCTAGAGGAGGTTGGCTATCACGTTGCTGTAGGGCTCGGCAGTCTTCTCAGCTAGCAGACTAGCAATTCTCTTGTAGAATGCAGTGGTGCATCTGCTCATACCCCCAGTGGTGGAAAGGACAGCTGGGATGAAGGAGGTATGTTCGATATTGCGCACCCGCTGCTCATATGCCCTCTTCTTCTCCCGCTCATGTTTGACATAGCAAGCGGCAATCGAGTTGGAGCGATTCAAGGACGCATGTTGCAACTTGGTGGGCTACCTGCTTCAGTGCCCTGGCGGTTAGGTCCCGGATCTCATTATGCCGGAGGGTTGGGAAGCCCCCCAGGGAACACGACAAGGCATGAACCACAGAGGATGCCTTCCTGCTTTGACAAGATGTCGGGAGTCGGGGAGGTAGCCAGTTGTACCGCAGACACACAGCGTCGCGAAACTCTCCTCTCGTGAGGTTGAAGCGGTGACAGCGAAGAGGTCTGCAGCTGAGCCAGCTGGAGGCTCCTTTGCTGGTCAACTGACGACGGAGGTGTCAGGCCAAGGCCGCCGTGGTGACATGGATCACTACTGCATGCAGGGGTAGGGGGAAATGGTGCCATTATGGGGGTTATGAAGTGTGTATGAACTATTGCATGCAGGGGTCGAGATCCAAATATGGAGTGGGTATAACAGGCGATCATTGCCCTCTCCGTGTCGTTAACCTGACGCCAGCCAAGGAGAGCAGGAACAAGGCAGTTGGTGACTGCATCATCGAGCGGCGTCAGCTGCTCAGCGAGGCCGGGCAGGCATGGTGCGGCAAAGGAAGGTCCACTTGCTCTGGAGGCCGCGGGTGAAGGCAGAGTATGCTGCCTGTGGCGGTGAGGTAGCTATCTCCCCCAGTCGTTTGACCTGTTGTGTCCAGGTGGCTATCTTCCCGTTCGCGTGCGCCGTGGTGAAGTCGGTGGATCCGCTCGCTGCACCCAGATACCGACATCCATTGCCTTGGTGTTGATGGTGACACCGGTGCCGTCAAAGATCTGGACTGCATCTGCATAGAATCCCGGTTTCACGCTGAGGACGGTTTTCTCGGCATTCGGGCAGTACCCATTGCTAGGTCCCTTTTCGACCAGGAGATCCCACCATTGGCGGAGTTTGACAAGCTTCCCACCCGCACCCGAGTCGTCCGCAAACCAGGATTGGGTAGCTCCGTCGACAGGCTTCAGACTTTTCCTTCTTTCATTTCTGATTTTTTCTATGTTGAGGAAAATGTTCTAAGTCCTCGGGCTAAGTGGTTGATATAAGCAAGAGTACATAACCCCCAGGGATTATGTACTCTTGATATAAGTGGTCAATATAAGCGGTCAATATATGCTGATACTTGACCTCTTAGAGATCACAAGTTTCTGTGGCGGTCAATAATAACAAGAGAGTGATAGAGTATATTATCGCTCTTCTGTATCACCTCCAGTGGAATAAACATGTGTTATCTGTATCAAGGACCTTAAATACATCTAGACTTGGCTGGCCAAAGATATCCTGTATCCATACAAGTAACTTCGATCATTGGTTTTGTAGAGCCCCATTCTCTAGGAGCTGTCTACATCTGCTTTGTTTCAATGTCCAGCATAAGCGAACGTATGGATCAAGCATAACTGCTTGGTTGACGCTGCCGCGGGAATGCGTATAATAATAATAATACAAGTACATGTATTGCCCGAGCTACGCCACTGAAGTGACAGTAACACATGACATTCTCACAGTGTTAATGGACAGAAACACAACAGTACTACAGTACAAATTGGGAAGCAACGGAAGAGCTGAATCTGTTAAACCTTTCGTACCGCGTATGAGGGGGCGCAAGCGTATAAAATGACTGCATTTCGAGTGTGAACTGGAGACGGCTTCAGGCGACAATGTACTGTAATTTCACAAATTTTCGGTGTACATGTACTTTTATTTTCGGTCGGTACTTTCGGTGCATCTGTTTCATACCTAAAATTTCAATACACCGAACAAACACTAACGCACATAAACCAATAGGGAACTGCTTCTCTGTACCTAAAATTTCTGTTCATCTAACTTGGCCTTTTGCCCTCATACTGAAAATATTGAGCACCGAAAATTTCTGAAATTAGAGTAACTGCAACTTAGCAAATTCCAGAATTGTTAACACTACTGTAAAAGCAGGAAGTTTCAGAAAGTTTCGGTGGTGTAATATTTTCAGTATTCTCCAAAATCGCCGGGTCGGCGGAGGGAAATTTTCGGTTAACCCGTTTTCCAGTTAAGTGTACTACCGGTAGTACTATACCGAAATGTTCGGGTCGCGTTTTATTTTCGGTGAAAATTTCGGCACCGAAGTTACCGAAAATAAAACACCGAAAATTTCGGTTTTTACAGTATGCTTCCCATAACTCCTCGAATGGTTCACAGGACTGAATTGAATTTTAGCAAAGTAGGATTTCGTGTTACTTGCTGTAAAAAAATGGAGAGGCGAAATGTATGTGACTAACTGTTTTCTTCTTTCCTGTGGCTATTGTTAGAATGGCAAAAGTCCAGGGCTACTTACTGTTTTGGTCTTCATGACAAACCGGTATCAGCTTAAGTTGAGGAGAAAGATGGGACAGAAGTCCCGAAAAGCAAGAAATTAGGGCTAAACATCGACTCGTCTTGGCCGTGCCTTGTGGCCCCTTTTTTGCAACGGCGTTTTCTGCTGGTAAACAAGGGTGCTGGATTATCAAATCTTGCCCTCCAATCCGACACAACCGTGTACATATCTGTGTCATACATCAAAATTCTGGGGTTTTTCGCTGTCAATCCAAGTACTTAATCTTTGTGGAATGCATATCTATACAGAGCATAGATATGATAGTTCTATTCTCAACTGAGTCTGTTACGTCATGTGTAGTATGCCCCCGATAAGTTACTTCATGCGCATCATGCAGCGACCAGACTGGCCTAGCTGTGCACCAGTACGGTATGCAATGTTCAACTGCTGGATTATGGAATCAAAATTACGTACAGCTCGAGCGATTCGTTGCAGAAAATCGCTGCTGGAGCCGGAATTCAAGCGCCGGATTAGAGCGTGGAAAACGAGCTGAAAACCCCCGGTTTGTCAGAAATCGCGCCGGCTTGCAAGGGTTCCGGAGAAACAAGTGCTGGGTCAGAGGGGAACAACTGTAAAGCCACGGCTTGCTTTCTTGGCCAGAAAAGTGAAGATTTCGAATTTGTATCCTCTCCATTGCTGGTTCTCCTTTTGATTCCCACTGTTTACTCACACTCTATCATAACCTGGCTGCCGGTATTCTCTATCAACTGTACTGTACTTGCAGGCCTCCTGTTCAGAAGACGCAAAACCAGCTGCACGAGTTTCTCCTACACAACCACTACTACCATCTGTTCTTCTTCGTCCTGCTCATAGTGGACGTGCTTGTGGTGCTGTCCGAGATCTTCTGGGATCTGGATGTGCTGGGTAAGCAGCATGTGTATAGTTTGGAGTGTGTAAGCTGAATTGCTGATACAGCCTTCTCGGAGATCAGTGGAACACAGTGTTGTGGATAGTTCCAGTTATACCATGGCTGTCTGGTCATACTAGTAACAGGTTTACTGTAACTGTGGTGTAGACAGACAGAGACAGACAGACAGACAGAGACAGACAGACAGACAGACAGAGACAGACAGACAGACAGACACAGACAGACAGACAGACAGACACAGACAGACAGAGACACAGACAGACAGACAGACAGACAGACAGACAGACAGACAGACAGACAGACAGACACAGACAGACACAAGCAGAGACACAGACAGACCGACCGACCGACAGCCAGACGGAGACACAGAGAGAGAGAGAGAGAGAGAGAGAATGTGTGAGCGTGTGTGTGATTTGGTGCGTCTGTAGCTTTCTCCACAAATCTCTGAATGTTTATTTTCTAATTTCTTGTTGATGTGGCAATGTTATGTCTGTAGGGAAGAACGAGTGTCTGATAAACGCAGACTGTCCGCGTCTGTGGCGAGCTCTCAACGGCACGAGTGTGGTTAACGACGGAGTAACATGCATGTACAACACATCGTTCAACCAGTGTATGTTTCTGAACGGTGCAAACCGCTGCGTGCCACGTGAGTACTCTGCGTGAATCGTGTTGTCGAAGTGTTGGGTAGAACTACAGGGGTGGGTGGTGACGTCGGATCCCTGCTTTCCCGGGTGCCATTATGTACAGTGTGTATGTGTGGGGGTGGGTGGTGCTTTCCGTCAAGACAAATTATTCCCCGCTGCATTGCACTCTAGGTCCGTGCTCACTTCATTGGACACTCGCGTCACTGCATCACTACATGTGCTCGCAACTTGAACAGTGCATGCAGGTTATGACCAAGCTGTTACAACAGAAACTGAAGCGTAGCTGGTATGCCTGAATGTAGCATGCCTGGTCACCTATTGCCCCCCCCCCCCCCCCCCCCCCGTCAGCAGGGTGAACACAGCGTACAGAAAACATTAGCAACAGCGCGCTCTCCTGTGTACTTTCCTACTAAATTATTTTATCCCCGAATAACCTGATTTTTGGTGGAGGACACAGGGGCATCGGAAGGTATTTTAGTGTGGTACAGTCAGCCATCTGAAGTACAATTTACTCGTGGGGGAGGGGTGGCGGAGCCGAAACTTGTGGAAATTTAGAGCCCAGATCAGTGTACTTTATTCATTCACAGGGTACTGTAAATATACAAAAATTCGGCGCTGCAAAATTTCGGCGGCGATTTATTTTCGGCGTGGGGTAGAGGGCATGGTATAGTGCGACAGATGCTGTGAAAAATTTCATCGGCGTTTTAATTTAGGCGTTTTGGGTCAGTGCCGAATATAGCCGAAATTAAATAGCTGCCGAAAATTTGTATATTTACAGTACCTGGGGCAAAAAGTGGTACGGTCAATACCGTAGTGACCGTACCGTGTCCGACGCCCCTGGGACACCACACAACAGCATTACATGGTTCACGACTCGCGTGACGCTCAGTCCGACTGAGTTTTCCGCATGCGCAGGAATGACACCACTATCGCCAAGTGTCAAGGCGCAGATGCAGCTTATAGAGCGGTGGGTGGTGAGCAGATCAAGCCCACCAGAAATGGGTCAAAGACTGAAAATCCCATTCGCTGCATCCGTGTTACCCGCGTGCCAGGCCACGAGTTCTCAATCAATCGTGAGTTCCCAGCAACACAACACACCAGCATCATAATGGGTATTTGATATCGCTTGCAACCGGACATGCACCGCCACCACCCTTGGCGAATGCGCGTTTTTCTTCTCGGGAAAGAATAGCAGTTCTTGATTCTTTCATGGCGTTCAGCCGACGCCATTGTCCTGTCTGTTCTCTCTCTACTGTGCGAACAGCGGGTACGGAGAGCGATCATAACCCTGAGCACGCTCTGCATACAGTTGGATTAATTATACTCATCATATTCGCCACTGAGGTAAGCAGTAGTGAACCATGCATTTACCTTTTTTCATAGTCCATATTCATTTTATGATCTGAAAAGATGAAAGCGTGTGCTTATCAGTGTGTTTGATTGGCCAGATCCGGAACAGGATCGTTTAGAACTGGGCATTTGATTGATCTCCACTGATTTCGGAATGTTCTGAACATGTTCTGGCCATCCCGATTCCCAAGGCTGGAGTAGCCAGAGGAAGTTGCAAAACCCAAGGAAAACCTGACAGCACTGCACAATGAGTTTATTTATTTTATTTTATTATTATTCGAAGGGAAGGGTGTGTTCAAGGGATTTTGTTCTATTTGGAACTGTAAATAATCTTCATCATTGTAGCTCGTGGTGGTATGTTTATGTGACTCGTGTCTCCACTATCATGAGTGAGTTATTTGCCTGTATTCGGTGCTTCTTCACCAGTCGTGCATGTATTCACCCTTGTTCAGTTCTCATTGTGAGAGGAGGGGGGGGGGGGCATATAAAGTGTAACGCCAACATTTCAATTATTGTAACATGGAAAAATGTGGGCACAAGTGATGCGATCGAGTCCACCGACTAAACCAGATTTTGAACAGTCATGCGCGCACAATCTGGCACGAAACTGACAAGGAGTACTGAGACTTTCATGCCGTGGAAAGTCTCAATACTCCTTGTCAGTGTTGTGCTAGATTGTGCGCGTCTGACTGTTCAGTTGGTGGACTCGATCGCATAACTTGTGCCCACATGTTTCCATGCTACAATTTTTCCCCAGTGGCTCACCATCTGATTTCAATTATTGAATACTATTTTGACAAAGCCCAGCCGCAATGCCCTCCAACCCTGCATAGCTGTGTACTTCCTAATTCTCTCCCCTTCTCGCGTGTGCATTTGTGCTTGTGCTTCAAGATTGTCTTCAAGATCTTTGCATTTGGCAGAGAATTTTTCGACATCCATCACCGCAAGTTGGAGGTGAGTCTGTCTTGAGCACTAGTGGAGAAGCCGAGTACATGTGCACGTCATGGCATGCCCTGCAGCCTCACATGCAATTTCCAGTCTTTCACGCACGCACACACACACACACACACACACACACACACACACACAGGCCATGTAAAAAGGACCTTGAGTTACCAAAGGGGAATGAAGTGAACTCCGTGCAGTTCCATGTCTTTAAAAGGCGAAAGGAGCAAGCCACTCGGCAAAATGCTCAATCGCTGCTTCCACCGCATCCAGTCACAATTGGTTCACTTGGCGTTTTAGGTAACCTTGGGCATCATCAGAAAGAATCGCAAAGAGCGGCCGCTTTGCTAAATACTCCATCGCAGCTCCGCCACATCAATCCCGACTGGTTCATTTAACATTTCGGCCAACATTGGACTTCATCCGAAACATCTAGTCCCGAAATCCCTCATGTAGGTATAACAGGCAATTGGCTTGCTCCTTTTTAGCTTCCAAAGTCAGAAAAAGGGCTTTAATAATTTAGGATGGCAATGAACAGAATCAGCTGAAGCGACATGTTACGGAGGTTTTATTGAAATGTAAAGTGGTGATGGACACAGAAATAACTGTGATGGAAATGTAATGTGAACGATGAAAATATAAACTATTTAACATGCATCGAACTAGCTTTCGCACAACGCTCATCAGGAAGCATCGTTGTACTAATTAAACAACACACACCACTTCACATTCTATCAGAGAAAGCGCGCAAAGACCGGCCTAGGCGTGGCAGGCCACGGAAGCACCCACTACCTGTGCTGCCTCAGCCTTCTCCGCCAGATCCAGTCCGGTTATCCGGCGCTGGTTTAACAGACTCCTTGGTGTCTGCAGCATCAGCGTTAGCAACAGCCGTGACGGTAGTCGATGGTGACTAGACAGTAAAGCCGACACCACAGTCCATCAACATCACAGATCGTGGCAAATCCAGGAAGGCTCTGCTTCCTCAACAAATGCCAGGCATACGCACCCTACCGGATCCACCACCTTCTGACCAAACCTTACCATCGTCAACATCGGAGCAGGCTACAACAACAACTTCTCAAAGACCAAGACGTTCAACACCTAATTACAGTATGAACTATGATACCGGAAAACAACAACGACAAAGGAGGAGATCCAGCGTGACGGCAACAGTGGACGTGATCGCCAACGTTGAGGACGACGACGGAAACGGCACTGACGGAGGAGATTCTAGCAGTGAGTTGAGTGAGGGAGAGAGCGTGGGTTTGGGTGAGTGTGGGCGTGTGTTTCGACCTCGTACGCCTTCTGTGTATAATCCTTTGGTATCTCGTCCTGGATGTTGCCAAGTGTATTCTGATTCATGTTTCTCCGTTTTGTGTCGTGGACGTCATGGTTATCAGTTACAGGTGAAGGTGTTGGAGGCTGTGTTCCAACGCATTCATAAGCCTGACCGTTGTGTTCAAAAGGAGACGAGAGTGTTATCTTTTTGAAATTGTTCAACCAGTAGAATGTTGTGTTTGTCTGGCCGTGTTGGGCCACCATGTTGTCACTAGTGTTGTTTCATACTTGAATTTTGTCCCCTTGGAGTGTTCGACGCACATGGTATTGTTCAGGAATACCTTGTGATACTTTTTTGGCATTGTTTAGGTGTTATAATATCACTATTGATCCTTTATAGTAATCTGTGTTTCAATTTGTTGTGTAATAATTAGTACAACGATGCTTCCTGATGAGTGTTGTGCGAAAGCTACTTGGTCCGTTTCATCGCAATTGTCGCTTATCTATCGCAACTAAGAACAGGAGTTTTTTTACGGCTCTGTAAAATTTCCAATACGCATAGTGAAGAAGCATGATACAGGAGTCCTGTCCGCCACAAGAAATAAATTCAGGGATGGAATCTGATGAAGCAAGTCGAAGAAAGGAAGCAAGGTTACAAAAAATGTACAAAAGAAAACAGCGACGGAGCGCCTTCTTGCACTCACGCTTTAATTTATCCGACTCTGGCTCTGTATCACTCGAGCTGATGCCACTTGAGCTGACATTCACTGGTGTGTATAGCTGCTGGCGTAGAGTATCTCTTGCTTTCTCCGCTTGGCGTATAGCACTAGCAGCGATGGGAAAGGAACAGTCGCGGCTGTCACTTTGGCAAGTGGAGGAACGTGGGCAGAGTGACCCGTCTGTCACTACAGTACTGTGTGTTCAACAATGTTTTTGAATCAGGCACACATCCCTCTCCAGAGAGCTATCATACGCTCTGCTGGATACGCTGACCACGACTCTTGTACTGCCGCTGCCAGGTCGGACAATGTCTTCTTTGCCACCATCTCGCCATCAGTTTGCAGGCTTGCAAAGAATACCAGGTCATTGCAGTTCAAACATTGCAGATCAAACATAACATTGCAGATCAAACAACTGAGCTGGCTGGCCTGGCCGTGACTGTCACGCTCTCCAGGTCAGGTTATCGATTTCCCTTGCTACAGTTCCGGTCTTTGAGCTGCGCTTGGCTTTTCGCTGCAGTGAATGTGTGCATTCACTGCAGCGAAATCAAAATTGTATGAATCGCGATGCCAATGGCGCTAGTCGCGATGGGTTTTTTTCTTTCTGGTCTCCTTTGATCTTGCCATCACAACCTCCCAAACGAATGTGAGTTAGATATCGAGATTGGACTGGGTTTTACCTGTCAAAAGGTGCGCGGGAGATAAGCGACAATTGCGATGAAACGGACCAAGTAGTTCGATGCATGTTAAATTGTTTATATTTTTCATCGTTCACATTACATTTCCATCACAGTTATTTCTGTGTCCATCACCACTTTACATTTCAATAAAACCTTCGTAACATGTCGCTTCAGCTGATTCTGTTC